TGGCTAGCACAGCTTCTTATTAACACTGCAGGCTACTTCTACACATGGTCCACATCCAAAAAGCTTGGGTGGGGATACGGATCACCGGCCTTGGGCAGGCGCAGGGCCGTGGCAGGGCTGGAGCCCAGCACTGCTGCAGCGTTGTGGGACAGGGACTAATGGCCCCGGGGTTGGGCTGAAGTGGGGCCTGTGAGCGCCTCCGAGGCCCGACACACACAATGTGAGGGCATTGCGTTCAGAAGCACGGAGACCTCCTCCAGGTATCTAAGAGCTGGAGAAATTGAGAAAACTCAAACTTGGGAGCACTGCTGAGCTCCCCGGTCACCTCTAGAACACCTTCAAACCCTTCTTCTCCGTTACCCAAGAGCGCCAATGGTCTCCAGAGTTGAAGGAGCTGATCTGAAGAGTTACCTTGCTTCCAACTAAAAAACTGATGAGAAGGGTGCATGGCAGCTTGCAGGAAACATGGAGAGTTGCATATGGTCTGGCTTGACCCAGGGAAGCGCTGCACTGTTGGAGGAGAGCTATTGCGTGAGTGCCCTTGGCCATGTACTGTATTTATGCTTCGAGATATGGCTCAAAGTGACAAATGGGCACAACCTCCTTCAAGAACAAAATACTAATTACAAATAATTAAGAATAGGTGCAAAACAGAGGGAAAAGGTGAGGAAAAATGCACACTGATACTTGAACAAATATAGCGTATATAGATAGTTAATAGATAAGGTGAAGATGCCAGTCAATGGCACTCAAAAATACACTCTGCAGTATTTGAGTTTTATCAGACTAATGAAACCATTTACCTGTTGTTTCGCCAGTGGTTTCACTTGTGTAGTTCAGTTTACAACCCTTTTACAGTTCTGGCTGAGCTGCTAAGCTGTGCTTCAGCTTCTTTAGGACACAAACCGACAAAAGCTCCTACTTTATTGCTTCCTCCCTTACTTCTCATCAGTGTCTCCAGCACCTGAAGCTCTAGGATTCTGGTATTCAAGATACTTTTTAGATTGATTAGGAGTAAGAAGAGAGGAATTTATCCCTGCCTGTGGTCCCACGCCCACTGCAAAAGCACTTCTTGGAAACGCTGCCATGGGCCACGAGATCGGAGAAAGCCACGATGGTAAAAACCAAAACATGGTAAGGACAGCATGGGCCATGACTGACCCAAACAGCAGCTTGAAGAGGACAACCCAAATGTTCAGGCATCCGTGCTGAGATCAGAACAGAGGAGTTAGGCAGCCCATGGTTTGCTGTAATATCTCAGTTCTGAATGCCCTCACTTAACTTCCCTCTGCACTCCCCACCTGGACCACTTGATTGGATATCAAAATGCTTTACTAAGTGACACATTCAATTAGTAGGCAGCAACTCAGGCCTGATGAATGAGGATCTGATCGAGCCACTAATGTATTAGGCTCAATAGACGACATAGCTGATATGGCGGTTGGCTCAGCCAAGTGTCTGGTTTCATGATACAAATGATTCGATAAATTGTGTGTCTCTTTCAGTGGATGACAACACTTGTTCAGCAAATGGTGAATTTCATTTTGCTGTGTCCTCCTGCTCAACAGAACTCACATTTAGATCATTCGGTAAGAGAGGTCCTGTGGGAGCCGGTCTGCTTCTTCTGAGCGACGATGTGGCACAGCGGAAAAGTATCTGAGAGTGAGGCTGCTGGTTTCTACACACGGTCCAATTCACAAGTTTCTTTCTCTCTTTCAGTGCATGATGTCAGTGAATTCCTTTGGAGGTTAGTATTGAGTGACTCTTTGTAGCAATAGTCACCAGGGAAGGGAAAAAATAAGTTAAGAGCCTAAAGATTTTTTTTGAGAAGTTATTCATTTAAGACTATAATGTGATAACAGTAGACAGATCAACACATGGATATCAAGACCCATCACACACATAGAGACTAAAAGGAATTCCTGCCCTAAGCAGCAAATTCCTCTGGTAGAAACTGGAAAGGAGGGGGAAGCTTTGAGGGTCAGTCATAGGATATTCATAAGCCAATAGGATATAACAAAGGCAGACGCAAATATGATTCGCAGTGAGGACTTTTCACAGGAGAAAAGGAAGAATTGCTGCCACTCTACAAGTTATCAGTGAGATCCCATCTGGAATACATTGTTCTGGTCACTCAGGTTCAGAATAGACTGTTTTGTTCTGAAATAGGTTGAGAGGCTGGTAGGATGACCAGGACAAGGCAAGGCCTGTCTTACAAGAGAAGGCTGAAGCGCTTGGCTTGGTCAGCATTGCAAAAGTGAGGCCGAGAAGGGATACTGCTGTTTTTATATGCGACGTGTGAAGTGGTGAATGCTAGGGAATGAGATGTTTTGTGTTGGCACAAGAACAAATAGGTATGAATGGTGCACCTGTAGTATCCTGTTCAAACTGGAAGATTTCAGTCGGTCAAAGGAGAGCCGGCTTTCAGGCAGAGCTGTGGTGGCAGATACTATTCCATCTACTGCAGTTTAATGCAATTGCTTTGGTCCCTTTCCTGCAGTCAGAGCTCAAAGAACAAACCCTGCTTGACATCAAGAGGACTTACACGCAGTACATGAATAAGAGTGCAGGATTTGGTGTGTTTTTGGTTTTATCTCCATGCTGTCCACTGAGCTCCTATTTCAGAGTTTGTCCGACTTTTGAAATCGCCCTTGGAAAACGAGACCATGACTCTAGTCCTGGCACATGTGGTTAAAGACCTCCCTACCTTAACGTTTATGTTAGTGCTCAAAAGGCCTGTCTCACCCTCAACACAACTGCCATAAATCTTCCAAATGGATATGCTGTCTTGGTTGGGCAGTGATGTGTAGAGCAACGGGGATGCGCAGGGTATCAGCACACTGTGTCTCCACTGACGCTAACCAGTGGGCCAAGTCACACAACAGAGCTGTTGGTTCAGTCTTCTGACAGAAGACTCTTCTTTTCAAAGTGGAAGGGATCCAACCATCCTTACTACCCAATACAATTCAATAAGTGATAACATGACTTTCCCCATTTGCTTAGCAATTTGTTCTCTTTCCCATCCCAATGTTCTTTGCAAAATCTGAATCAAGCGATATTGTCTGAGAATAAAGACAAGCTGCTCACATGCATCAGGTTCGACACAAGAGCTTTCATTACTGCCACAAGTTTGATGCTCCATAGCACTGACTCACCACTTTCTACAATTTAAAATAAATAATCTTCAGAGAAAATCAGATGAGCTCTTATGATCATAAATACAAATCTACCTGCTTTTTATGGACAATATAGTTTATAAAGAAATCTTAGATGGTTTAACATCACACAGGTTTGTTCTGATCAGGTTAGATTCAGTTTCCCTTGTTCTTGATTAGTACACTTT